ATAACGGGCTGGATGTATGCAGAAGGCAGAATCTGATCGATAATACCTGCATTTGCAGCGCGTGCTAATCTCGGTTAGAATAAACCCGGGTTAGTTTTTTATGGTTTAGGGTGCTGTGTAAATCCAGCCCTTTTGGTGAGCTTAGGATTCAGTGCAATGTATAAACCCAGAACATGGGTTAATTCAGTAACCAAGTTAAGGAGGTTGTGTAAACACTGCCATTCAGTGCCTAATTTGTCCAGACTGGAAAACGGGGATATTTTTCCAGTGCTCTGAAAAAGATACTTAAAGAAAGATTAAAAACACCCCTTGTTAGATTTCCCACTAATAAGTGTAAGAGTTTAAATCTGAAATCCCCACCCATTTACCCAGAAACCGTTTTCCATAAACTCATTGGGACTTACTTCTGAGTAAATTTGCCTAAGATGGGGTCTACAGCTAACCAGGTTATGTCTGTTATCAGGTGCAAACAGCTTCATTATAGAAGGAGTATTTCATTATTTAGAAACCTTCCACCAGCCTCCTTATCTTAAATGGTTTTAAGGACCGAATAACCATGTAAACCAATGTTCTTTGTTGTTCTTGAAGAACAAAAAGGCTAGAATGGAATGATAAAAATCAACTCAGATGTTCTTGATTTAATTATCACAAGGCCCACCGAAAGGCCCAAAGTGATAAATACTCAGGCAGGGATCCAGGGACCTGCGATGATGATATTGATAACAGGGGTTTACACGTTGATTATTCAAGGCGCTGCACGTTCATCATAATATTATAGCCAGGGCAAGGGGTGAGACTATGGGGGGGTGCGCTTCCATGTCCCATAATGAGTCATTGATGAAGTCCTCATTGGAGGGCTTGCTTAATTGTAGGTCAGCCTTATGAGTCAGGTTAGCCAGCTGAGTTTACCGAAAACATTAAACCTTAAATCCAGGTTAACGGAAAGAAGGGGCTGTGTTTACAAAACTTGAACTGATAAGCTCTGTGGTGCCTTAAGGGGATGGTCTGGTTCACACAACACATTAAGACAATGGCTGGTTTTCTCACCAATGATCCAGCCGTGCCTTAGCCTACTCGGGCATGCTGTGCTAACCAAGTCCCTGGTTGTTTAAGACTCTCGGACAGCAGATTATTTTTAAGTTTCTCCTTATCGATTTGTGGACCGTTCCAAATCCTGCATCCGACACCATTAATACCTTGGCCGGGTTCGCATCTCTTACACATCCTCCTTACAGAGTCTTCTTCCAAGTGAATATTTGCTGTCAGTTAAAATCTGCCTCATTCCCCCAGAATCCACAGCTCTTCAACAGAGAGAACAAACACCTTCAAGTGTCCCTTATGCAAAACCCTTTCTTTTTAAAAAAGAAAAGTGAAACTTTTGCAGACCTCTCCTTAGACAGAGAGCTAGAAAAGCTGATTTTGCCCCCCAGGTTTGCCTCCCCAGCAAGCAAGGGGTGGAAGGTGTTGAAAGGCAGTTAAATGCCTGTCTGCCACTTCGCCAGCCACCTTCGCCCTCTTCCTTCTTTGGGTGTTTACCAGGCCAATCCAAGCTGTTAATTGAAAGGGGTCGGAAGCCCAGGCAGGTTTTCAGACCAGGCTTGGAAAAACGTTAATGGTGTGGCGTTTATTTGCTCTGTCCCAAGGGAGCGACTACAGCTCTTCCTTGGACATCTCACCAGCTGAAGACCAAAGCCAGGGGAGTGAGTGGTGGGGCAGAGAGAAGGGAAGGTGGGGAGGGGAAGGGGCAATTCAAACAAGAGAAAAGAAGACTGCGGAGCAGTTGTAAACCCTTCTAGAATGATTTTGGGAGGTGGAAAGGAGAGGAAAGAGGGGATGCAAAGATGTAGGGGTTGCCTGTAAAAATTCAGCCCTGCAAAATCCCCCCAGGTTGCTTCCCTCGATTCCTCTGGCGCTCCAGAGGCAGATTTGAAGGGAGATCCAGAAAACGTGTAATTTCCTGAAAGGCTGAGGATTCAAGTTCACAGCCTTTAATTGCCGCTGATGGCAAGGAGGTTCAGAAACTTCCTCTTCTCTCTCCCAGCTGCACTTTCATTCACATCCAATTAAGGAAAACCACCAAGCAGAAAGATCAAACTCCTTTTCCGCCTCTCTTTTCTGCAAGGAAGGGCGCTAGGCTTGCTTCTGGTTTGGGCATATCGCACCTGACGGTTCAGATTCCGGTTTTCTCTTCTCGCATGTAAGCTGGCCGCCCACTTTAAGAGAAAGAACCCGGATTATCTCCGTTTTGCAGATGAACACCCCCAAGGTTATTTGAGAATGGGGGGGGG